GGGTCAAAAATTTACATTCTTATTTATGTTTTACAATCTAAAATTAATATATGATTTTTAGGAATTAATGCAATAAACAACACCATTTTTTGATGAATATTCTATTTTTTATGATTTTTTTTATTTTTCATCTTTGAAAAAAAATAAAATAAAAACGGCGTCAAAACAATATGAAATTTTACAGACACGATCCTTACATTTTTCTGGGCGTGCCTGCCAAAAAAAGGCCTAAAATGACAAAAAAGGTAAAACACTGTCAAAAAGCCCCCAGCCCGCGTAGTGTGTTGCCCAGGGACCAGGATGGGTAAAAAATTTACATTTTTATTTATCTTTTGCATTCTAAAATTAGTATACGATTTTTAGGAATTAATGCAACAAGCAACACCATTTTTTGATGAATATTCTATTTTTTATGATTTTCTTTATTTCTTGTCTTTGAAAAAAAAGTAAAATAAAAATGACGTCAAAACATTATAAAATTCCGCAGACACGATCCTTACATTTTTTTGGGTATGCCTGCAAAAAATGGTATTAAAAATGACAAAAAAAGGAAAAACACTGTCAAAAATCCTCCGGTCCGCGTAGTAGGGCGCCCAGGTACCCAAATGGGTAAAAAATTTACATTCTTATTTATGTTTTGCAATCTAAAATTAATATACGGTTTTTAGGAATTAATGCAATAGGCAGCACCATTTTTTGATGAATATTCTATTTTTTATGATTTTTTTTTATTTTTCATCTTTAAGAAAAAATAAAATAAAAACAACGTCAAAACATTACGAAATTTTGCAGACACGATCCTCACATTTTTCTGGACGTGCCTGCCAAAAAAAGGCCTAAAAATGACAAAAAAGGTAAAATGTCGTCAAAAAGCCTCCAGCTCGCGTAGTGTGGTGCCCAGGGGCCAGGATGGGTGAAAAATTTACATTTTTATTTATGTTTTACATTCTAAGATTAGTATACGACTTTTAGGAATTAATACAACAAGCATCACTATTTTTTGATAAATATTCTATTTTTTATGATTTTCTTTATTTTTTGTCTTTGAAAAATAAAATAAAATAAAAACGACGTCAAGACATTATGAAATTTTGTTTTGCATTCTAAAATTAATATACAATTTTTAAGAATTAATGTCATAACCGACACCATTTTTTTGATGAATATTCTATTTTTTATGATTTTCTTTAATTTTCACCTTTGAAAAACGTTATGAAATTTTACAGACACGATCCTTACATTTTTCTGGGCATGCTTGCAAATAATGGCGTTAAAAACTGACAAAAAAAACTTAAACGCTGTCAAAAAGCTCACAGCCTGCGTAGTGGGACTCATAAGGGCCGAGATGGGTAAAAAATTTACATTTTTATTTACGTTTTGCATTCTAAAATTAATATACGATTTTTAGGAATTAATGCTACAAGCATCACTATTTTTTTGATGAATCTTCTATTTTTTATGATTTTCTTTATTTTTTGTTTTTGAAAAGTAAAATAAAATAAAAATGATGTCAAAACATTAGGAAATTTTGCATACACAATCCTTACATTTTTCTGGGCATGCCTGTTTTTAATTGCCTTAAAAACTGACAAAAAAAGTAAAACGCTGTCGAAAAGCCCCTAGCCCGCGTAGCGGGGCACCTAGGGGCCGGGATGTGTTAAAAATTTATATTTTTATTTATGTTTTACATTCTAAAATTAATATATGATATTTAAGAATTAATGCAATATGCAGCACCATTTTGATTAATATTATATTTTTTATGATTTTCTTTATCTTTTGTCTTTCAAAAATAAAATAATATAAAAACGGCGTTAAAAAATTATGAAATTTTACAGTCACGATCCTCACATTTGTTTGGGCATGCATGCAAAAAATCGCCTAAAAATGACAAAAAAGTAAAACGCGGTCAAAACGCCCCTGGCCCGCGTAGTGGGGCACCCAGGGGCCGAGATTTGTCAAAAATTTTAATTTTAATTTATGTTTTGCATTCTAAAATTAATATACGATATTTAGGAATTAATGCAACAAGCAACACCATTTTTTGATGAATATTCTATTTTTTATGATTTTCTTTATTTTTTGTCTTTCAAAAATAAAATAAAATAAAGTCGATGTCAAAAAATTTTGAAATTTTACAGACATGATCCTTACCTTTTTCTGGGATGCTTGCAAAAAATTGCCTCAAAAAATGACAAAACAAAGTAAAACGCGGTCAAAAGCCCTCAGCCTGCGTAGTGGGGCTTCTAGGGGACGGGATGGGTCAAAACTTTACATTTTAATTTATGTTTGACATTTTAAAATTAATAGACGATTTTTAGGAATTAATGCAACAAACAAGCGGCACCATTTTTTAATAAATATTATATTTTTTATGATTTTCTTTATTTTTCATCTTTGAAAAATAAAATAAAATAAAAATGACGTCAAAAAATTATAAAATTTTACAGACACGATCCTTACATTTTTCTGGGCATGCCTGCAGAAAAAGGCCTCAAAAATGAAAAAAAAAAAAGAAAGAAAAACGTTGTATAAAAACCCCCGGCCTGCTAGTGGGACGCCCAGAGGCCGGGAATCTGAATTAGAAATTGTCTATCATGCATACTTTTTAATCTGATGTGGTTTTAAATCAATTCAAACAGTCAAAAATTAACACCACCGGTAACACATCCTATTAGAGAAACTCTTTTTTTTTACTTCTTTATTTTGGATGTTTGATGTGATATGTGAATATACACTTTAGGTTCTAATGAGACAATTAGTGGAAAGGTTTGGGCCACGTTATTTAGCTGAGGTGGGGCCGAAACATCCAAGAGGTTTCTTATTCTTAACGAGTCAATTGATACTTTATTTTATTTTATTATTATTATTTGTAAATAACGAGTCAATTGATCTTGCATACTACAACAATCTTCTCCATCTATTTGCGTGTTGTACACTTCATCCATTTTGTACCTCAAATTTTCGAGCAACAAATTTTAACCATTAACAACCCCGGTTCTATATTATTAAAACTCTACTTCAGCCATTAAAGGTAGGTCTTGTTGTAACTCGTCACATTTCACTTATTTTGAATAATCGTAATATGCTACGTGTATTTATAATCCTGCCAATGCTCCATTTGTACAAGATCGAGCCAGAGATTTAGTTTAACTTATAAAATGTTAATAGAATTTTCAAGCCTAACGTGTATTTAGAGAAACAGTCGTAGTTTATGATGGCCTTTAGCATGGTTCCTGGAAACAGGCCATGGTTGATAAATTCTTAGCTTCTAAAGAACCAACCTTAGTTCAGGATTGCCTTAATCACGCAAAGTCATGCTACTATTGCTGAAGATCTGATTGCTCAATTGAGTAAGAAGTTTTCTTTGAAAGATTTTGAGAAGGCACTACATTATTTTCTGAGCATTCATAGGGTATTCATTTCTCAGACCAAATCTGTCAATGTCAATGATTTGCTGTGATACCATGTGAAAATTCTAATAAATGAGAGTAAATAAATGTGACGCTACAAAAATAAAGGAATACAGTTAGTGGATTTATTAAATTAATTGTGTATTATTCATGTGCCAAAATAAAATCTCGGTAATACTTTCATGATCCATGAATTTAAAAGATGTCGAAATAGCGGAAACATCAATGCGCTTAGTACAAGGTAATCTCAAGAGTGGGAATGCGAATGTGAAAAATTCTCATGTTTAGTACACTTATCGGTCTTTTTTAAAGTCCAAGAAAGAGAAATTCGTGAGTTTCACATTATTATATTTTAAGATAATCCTAAACTCACCTAATAGAATTATTATTCACTTTTCTAAAAAAGTGAATATAATGATAAAAAATTTTGCAACCCTAACCTCTCACTCATCTCTTCCAAGTCCCCATCTCACCTTGCTGCCACTGCTCCTCCATCATTCCGCCGCTGCCGCAGCCAACCGTCTTCCGTCCACCGTGCCGCCGTTGCTAGACTTTCCTATGCCGTCGCCACCATTTTCAGAGCATGATTTTTGTCTTCCTTTTTGTAGATTATTCTCTGAAAAATGTTTCAGGGTATTTTAAAATTCTTCTGGATAATAATCTATTAATTTTCCATTGATTTCTTGATAATTTGTTTGAAATATGCTATTAACATTACGATCAGCACGTTTCTTTCTTTTTTCTTTTTTTTTTATTTTCTTTTTTCAATAGTTGAATCCTTTGTTTCCTTTTTTTCCGTATGCATGCATTCCGCCAGTTGCAACTCTTTCTTTTCTTTTCTTTTTTCTTTTTTTTGGCTGAGTCCTTTGTTTTATTTGAATTGCTTCACTCTTTATTTTTGCCTGTAACTTTTTGTTCTGTTCATTGTAACCTTTCATTTTCTTTTTTCTTGAATCCGTTGCGTTGCGGTTGGTAAATGGGCAGATACGGATCTTCTTCTATTAGACAAAAAAAAAAAAAAAAAAGAAGAAATGTGGCTATATTGGTTCAATAGATAGAGAAGCGTCTTTATTGACATGCTTGGTTACGTTTTTTAAATGTTATGAGGATAGTTATTTTTAAAAAAAAAAAAAAAACATGATATCGATATTTTATTAATATTGAAATAAGTAATAGTATTTCTTTTTTAAAAAAAAATAATATAATAGTTTATTTTTGGTCTACTATATAGCATTTTCATGCACAACCAAATACACTAATATATTATTCCTGAGATTTTAGAAAGGATTATTTAACGCAACTAAACATGATAATATAAATTTCTTGGAAATTATATTACTTTCTATCACTTTTTCAAAAATATGATCCCCATTGATTACTGCGTACCAAAGCCCCCTCATTGAATTGATTTGTGCGCATTGCTTACTGTTTAAAAACTAGGTGTGAATATTGATCAAGAATAAACCACAAAACACTCATGGTCATAAAAGAAACAAAATGTTTTTTCTTACAACTGCATGAAGTAAATCCTATAAAACTCTCTGAGGGAGTTCACATAGACAATGCTGTGAAGCTCGAAATGTGCTTCTAATACTCTTGTATCCTTACTATAACGATAGATTGTCTCCTTACCACATTTTCTAATCCTTCCACCAGTTGTGATCTCTTTTCTGATGTAGCTTTAGAAGATATTACACCTCTTAAAGATGTTGGAACCTGAGAACATAGAAGTCATCATAATCATATTTCAAGACCTCTACGAACCCAATCCCATAAATATCCTAGTAGAAATCCATTTCAGCTATCTAGTAACTCCAAGGATCAGAAAGAAAATCCTTTGATAGAAAAAAATTCAGTCATGTTTTTGGATTCATCTTTCGACATTCAGTAGCAAAACGCGGGCAATTCAATTTTTTCTAACGAATCTGACATGTGAAAGAAACTACAAAAGTGAATTAAAAAAATTCAGCACATTATAAATGAGAATGGGCTGCCTCATGATTACTTACTATGGCCTCTTCGCATTGCAACTTAAGTTTGACCTTTTTTTTTTTCTTTTTTTTTTTTTTTGTAAAAATTAACGAGGAATTAAAAACACACGGTATAGTCGTGGCATTCCAGAAAATACAGGGTAAAACGCAGTATTTCGGTAAAAGCACATGGAGATTCTAGGTACTTATCCAATCGAAGAATCAATAAAAAGAAATTCATCTTAACAAAAAAGGAAAAAACACACACATTTCAACCTAGTACAATACAATTCAGTAGAGTTGGCCAAGTCATCTTACTTTTTCGACTTGCAAAGGGCATTGCACAAGGAGGCCAAAAAGACCATCTTTCATATCCTTAGCTCTAATAGTAAAAATAGCATCCTTAAGTCCACGAGAAATAAGGTACTCTTCAGTCTCCTTCGGAAATCGATGCCCTTTGAACACGCTAACAGGAGGATCCCACATCTAACCAACCAAACAAAACAAATCAAAAACTCTTTTAGCAATCAAGAAGAATTCATTGTAAAATCCAACATTTCCAATCAAATCAAACACCTTACTGAAGAACCAACTTGCGCTTGACGATCATCCAAGCTTCTATAAATCCCGACGACGTCCCCTTTTCGCACGACATAGAATGCCCCCTTCTCCTTCTCGTCCTCCTTCTCCATTGTTGGTTCAGGCTTTTCACTGCTTTCACCGGCTTCTCTCGAGTAAAGCCGAACGCTAAATCGCGTCAAAGCAGAGTGCTTCTGAGTGAGGGAAGTAATGCGCGGATTGTCGCTGAATGTTCGAGTCCATGGCCATGAACAAGCATAAGTCTGCAATGACTGCTCCTGAGGAATACTAAGCAGATGTTTTGTTCGTGTATTCAGAATTATAATTCAAAATTATTTTTATTTTATGTGTTTTTTATAAGAAAAAATTAATATTAAAAATCATAAATTATGATTTTAAATTAGTAACGAATACAGAAAATAAATATCCTCTTAATCTTGATATTCTCAACATCATTTGACAAATAAAGTTTAAGACACCCAAAAGAATATCTTAGATAGTAAATAACTTAAATTGTCTATTTTGCTCTATATTTTGTTTGAGATTCAGATTCTCTCTCCGACTTTGGTGTCTAAATTGGTGTATAAGCAATGATATTATGTCATGTAATTTAAAAAAATTAAAATGTTTTTTAATTAATTTTTTTATATTTAAATGTTTGAGTCTATTAAGTGACATTACATAGTATAGTTGACTACACTTTTTAGGACGTCAAAAACTGAATAGATGATTTCTTAGACAATAAATAACTTAAAGTGCTACAAACTTATCTTTGCTTTATGTTTGAGACTTGGATTCTCTCTCCAAATTTCATTTTTAAAATGGTGTATAACAAAGATAGTAATTTGAAAAATTTAAAATGCTTTATTGCTTTTTAAGTAATTTTTTTATACTTTCATATTTGAGTCTATTAACGAACGTGACATAACACAATTAATTGAACACCATTTAAGACATTAAAAACAGGATAAATGATCTAACCCGTGTATGACATTATGACTTCATATAGTTGCCGCGAGTTTGTTAGATTCATCTTAATCATGATGGGGTTACTTATGATGTGCATAACAACAGAGATTCCTACCCAAGAATGAAAAGTAAGGACAACGTATTTTAATTTGATGTCGATACTAATTAGAGAGAGCCCAATAACACGTCTCATGCCTTAAAGGTTGAAACTTGAAAATCAACCAACAATATTATGCCTTATGAATGAAGAAATTGAATTAATTTCAGGGAAACCTACATTTGAAAAAGAACGCGACATAGCTTGGTGGTTTGGCATGGGCAATTCCTTTATAACTCATCCGAGGTCTCAAATCAATTAAAAAAAAAAAGAAAAAAACTGTTCATGAATCAAAAAAACATGACCACTTTATGTTTTATAAATAAAGAGAGCTTTCATAGACTTAAAAGCAATTTATAAAAGTTAGCTAACCTTCATCAACAAGGTATTTAAAGAATATAAAATTCACCTGCCGGCCGGATGAAAGACTATGCCCACTTTTTTCTTCTTTTTGAAAAGCTTAAAAGCTATATTATAAGTGCGGTATTGTGAAGAGACTAGAGACCCATTAACTTTACCAAAATAACTTGTTCCAAAACATCTTTACCATCTTTCATGCTAGAATTCTCAGCAACCAAACTGATATAGAGAGAGACATGGGAATACCATCGTTTTACAAATGGTTGGTAAGAAAATACCCCAAAATAGCAACAAATGCAGTTGGAGAGAAAGGAGAGAGCGTGGATGGAAGCAGCTTGCCTAACCCAAATGGCTTTGAATTTGATAACCTGTATCTGGATATGAATGAGATCATCTGGGACATTTTTTGCCCTAGTGATGAAGAAGAAGTATCAATTCTTACACTTTATATTTAGAAATTACAGCTATATTATTTGTTATAGTCTAACTTGAAGTAATTCTATCTTGTTTTAGAGCTCAGAACCAACTACGATTGAAGATGGTTTAAACGCCATCTTTCAATATATTGATAGTCTTTTCAGCATCGTTAGACCAAGGAAGCTTCTCTATTTGGCCATTGGTGAGTGTCACTTAGAACTTATCCTAGAAAGTCTTTAATTTCGAGAAATTATCATTTTGGTACCCTTTTATTATTATTATTCTTATTATTCTTTGAAATTGCAGGAATAACCTCAACTACCAGTAAGTATCTAGAAAATCCCTTCACATGAATCAAACAATTAGTGAGTTGACTAGATTAGTAGATTGGGATAAAACTTGACAATTGATACGTTTGGTAAAAGGGTTGGAGAGGTTTTTTTTTTTTGAGGGAAGGGTTGGAGAGTTTGAAGGTTGAATGATGGATAATGCGCACGATAAGGAGGAAACTAACAACTAATTATCCAAAGTGTTTGGTAAGAAGGATAGTTAAGTGGAATGAGAGATGCATATTTATTTTAGAAAATTACTATCGTACCCACTTAATAAATTTTAAATGATATTTTTATATGAAAAATTGTTATTTCTCTATAAAAAAAAAATAGAGGGAAATTTGGTTTGGATATACTTTCTTTTTTATTTGCTTTAGAGACTACTCCATTCTCTAAAATATTTGTAGGCCCAAATGACTTGTAAAATGTTTATTATACATTTAATTGAAAAAAAAAATAGTTATATTACTCTCAAATCAACCCTCCATGTGGTCGTCTCCAACATACTTTTGACAACATTTAACACATTATGAACGTTTTTTATTTTTATTTTTATAAATTTGACAATATTACAAGATAAAAGAAACTGAAAAACAGTATATATAGTTATAAAAATTGCGAAACACTAATTAGATATATCAATAATAATTTCAGGATTGCATTACCCACCATTAATGCTTTGTTTTTAGTAAACCATGAATTATTAATGCTAATAACATAAGAAAATTTAAAAATTTAGTTTTCTCATCATGGGTATAATAGACATTTTATAAGCTATTGGCTTCTACTAGTCTAAATTTAATTATGGGGTCTAAATACCTAAATCAAAATAAAAAAGGGTCTCTCCAAGCAAATTTCGCTAAAATTGAGAAGAGAGCTCTAATCCTTCCATTAATGGAATGATCCAAAATGGTAGATTCAATGGAGAGCTCCTTGCTCCACCCCTCTCCCTCCCTCCATCACTCCCTTCAAACAAACAAAGGAATTTGACATTTAATTAAATGTGAAGTGATTTTCTAGATATGTTGGTACATGAGGGTTATTTATGCAATTTTGAAAAACTATAAGTTACTTAAATGATATTTTTCCTTCATTTTTTTTTTTCGTCAATGATTTTGCTGATATATAGTTATAGTTTAGAGCTTTAGCACAGATGGTTATTTATCATGTAATCTTCAATATAAACTTCAAAACCAATTATATTTGATCAGATGGAGTGCCCCCAAGAGCAAAATGGGGGCAATGCTGCGCTGGGCGTTTTTGTACAGCAAAGCTCAGGGAGATTGAAGTGAGATCTCTTTGTTGTCTTTTTCTAATCACACTTTCAGTTTTACACTTTAGTTATATTTTAGGATCTTATCACATTTAATTTCATACCTATTCATATTTTATGTTTTGGTATCTTTATTAAGAAAAAATAGCATAAGTAATATAGTACCTAATCTTTTAAATGTTAATATTGTCACCTTGTAGGAAGAAGTAGAAGGGAGACTAAGACAACAGCTTGAAAGGGAAGGCAAACAAGTTCTTCCAGAACTTGAATCAGAACTTTCTGTTTCTGTTGTTATAACGCCTGGGACAGAGTTCATGCAGAAGTTATCAAAAGCACTCAAGAGCTATGTTAGTTCTCGCTTAAGAAGTGATTTGGGGTGGAGGAACATTAAGGTTTGATGCATTTTCCATTTGTCAATTTGCGAGTAACTATGTGTATTAACTAGTATTGTATTGTATAAGATTCATACCGAACGAGATCTAATATACAATTTATTAGAAATCCTATGTTTCACTTGCTATGTGGAGAAATTTAGCCTATGGCAATCCAATTTTTCATATGCATTTGACTTATTCATGTTATGTTTTCTTTTACTTTGTCATGTTTGTAAGGTAATTCTTTCAGATGCCAATGTTCCTGAAGAAGGGGAGCAAAAGATAGTTGCCTTTATTCGCCGACAACGTGCCCTTCAATCTTATGATCCCAACACTAGTCACTGCATATTTGGGAGGGTATTAAATGATTATCTTTATCTGTTACGTATGTCCATTGTAAACTACTTTGAGATATCTAGAAACACCTAAGAATTTTGAACTCATTTATAATTTTATTTCTGTCCCTCACATGTGTTGTTCGTATTCTGGCATTGCAGGATGCTGATTTTATAATTCTTGCTTTGGCGATGCATGAAGTTCATGTTTCCATTTTGAGAAAGGTGTTAACGTAAATTAGTTTCTATAGTTCTCAAACTTATATTAGCTATTCCTAATATTGTTTTCTGTTTGCTTGGATGCGCTTGGTCTAAGAGCAGAACCATTGGAACTTTAAACCAGATATTGACAAAAGGCTTTCAACAGCAGAATCAACCTCTATTGTTACAAAGCCCTATCAGGTCATAATTTTATCATCCCTGGTTATTGAAGCTATAATTGTTTTGTTGCGTCACTTAATTTACCATCTTATCCTCAGTTCGTGCATCTCTGGATTTTGAGGGAATATTTGGAGCTTGATTTTCAAATACCTGATCCTCCTGAGGATTTTCAGTTTGATATCGAACGAATTATTGATGATTTTGTCTTCATGAGCTTCTTCGTCGGGAATGATTTTCTTCCCCGCACGCCATCTTTGAAAGTTGATGAGGTTCATTCCTAACTTTTTATTAATTATTGCTGAAATTCCCACATTGAATGAATATAGGGACTGATATACATATCAGAGTCGGAATGGCATGGATTCTTAATATGGTATCAGAGCATCGGCTATTTCATCACGTGTTGGTCATTCCACTCACGTGCTCACCATCACCCATTATCAATCCACGTGTTTGGTTTACATAATGCCACATGTCAGGGGGCCTGTTAAGATTTGTCCCACATTGGGAATATACAAGCTACATGTGCAATTTGTAAAATCTCATTGCCTATTGGTTTTGAGTTGGAACCTCATGGATTATTAAGAATTATTTGTTCCCGCAATCATTGTATTAAATTATTATTAAATTGTGTTAAATTCAATTTCGGCGTGTCAAATTACTAAAGCAAGCGTAGTAAACTTAGTTTCTTTCTATGACCTACTGCTTTTCAGAATGCAATTGATTTGCTAATGTTTGTATACAAGAAAGAACTCAAGAACATTGGAGGCTATCTTGTTGATACGAGCAAGGCAAGATAATTCTTCATAGCTATCATGTTTTATTTGCGATGCAATGCTATCATGTTTTATTTGCGATTCAATGCTATCATGTTTCGCTCTCTATCTCTGTACAAAAGCAGATCGAGGACAGTGAAGGAGGCTATATTGAATTGTCTAGAGTTGAGAGATTTGTTAGCTTGGTTGGTTCATACGAAAACAAAATTTTCAGGAAAAGATCACATTTAGAAGATCGAAAACCAAAACGTCTTCTCTTAACTTCAAATGCGGTAAGTTCCTGAAGCCTAAATATAAGTAGCACTCAATACAATTTTAGGGAGCTCTCATCGCTGCAATGGTGTTAATCATTTTCAACTATTTTCTTCTCCAGCTTGAGGAAGATGATACCGATGATTCAATGACTAATGCCACCAATAAATTGTCCACTTATTCTAATGTAAGTAAATTAAGTTTCAAAAACTGCACATTTTAGCAGACTGTTGATGTACAATTCTTCATCCTATTAATTAGGTATGGTTGCTTATTCTTGCAGTACTTAAATACAATTTTGAACTTCCCGTAGAAAGCATTTCACTATACACATTGTGAATCTTTTATAGTGGTAGAAGTTAAGATGGACACTACATTATTATCATCATAATTGTTCTAATACAGAATCGTAATATTAAAGAAAGTTATTAATTTATTTATTATTATTTTTTTTTTAACTTATTGGCTCAAATGCTCCCTATTGTTTGCCTGATTTTGCACCTAACCACCTATTTAAATAATGTTACTATTTATTGGCACTTCAGGTCGAAATTGACCCTTAATTTTTGCTTTTCAGTACAAATGCCAATAAAAAATAATATTCGGAGGTTTTAACGCTTATAACATTATAAATAGGTGGTAACGTGCAAACCGAGCAAACAATAGGGGGCTTTTGAGTCAATTAGTCTTTTTCATTCTTTTTTTTCTTTTTTCTTTTCCTGTAAAATGCACCTCCATTGTGGAGAGCACAATTTGGTTGCTAACACCTAGAGGGGGAGCCTACAAGGAATAGTAGCAAAAACTTGCACTGCATTCTTCTCTGCATGACATCTCTATTCCTTGTCTCAAATTCATTCTTCAGAAATTTCAATTATTGTTACAACCGCATACACTGGAATGTGCGATGACCAACAACCTGTTTGGAATTCAAATGCCTTGAAAAGTCCTCATTCTCATAAAACTAAAAGGTCTAGAACAAAACAGACGGCAAAAGAGGACTATGAGTAGAGAAGCTTCTTGGTATAGCCTTCCATGTTCATGCCTTGAGAAGCTTCATTCATCTTATGGCCTAATAATTTACCTTTTTCATCACTTGGTATTATATGCATATTTAATTTTTGCATGGTATTGCAGTTATTGAAGAATACAAATGAGTTGAAGGAGAAAGTGAAGGAAAACCTGAGGAACTCAGGCCTTTATGGTGATGGGGTTGACAGAGTAGGAATCAGTCCCTTTCGAAAATTCTTTTTGTTTGTGCAATAGAGATATCTGCATGCTTTGCAGGATAACTAACACTAGTTTGCTAATTCTTGTAACAGGTGAGGTTGGGCGCAACTGGATATAAAGAAAGATACTACAAAGAAAGATTTTCTGAAAAATATCGAGGAGATATTGAGACAATTAGGAAAGACATAGTAAGTTTGGTTATCTTAGCCTTTCTTTTATTTTTTATTTTTTCCTTTTAAAATCATTATGATCCTAGGTTAACTAAAGTAACAATTTTTTCTTCAAGCGTCGTTGAAGTTTCAAATAATTTTTGGCTATGAAGAGAAATTAAGTTTATATCTACTGCCTTTTTCGTTGGGGTTTCTTTTACTTTCGTCCATCTCTCCTTTTTTTCCTCAGTTCTTCATTCTCTAAGTACTTGTAGGTTGTTAAGTACACTGAAGGACTACTCTGGACCCTATTGTATTATTTCCAAGGACCGCCATCGTGGACATGGTACTAAACTTCTGTAAGATAAATATACTATGCTACTACTTGCAATTTGAATTCTAACTTGTGAGAAAATGCCATCATTGTGGCATATTTTCAGGTATTATCCATATCGTGCCGGACCATTTGTTTCTGATTTGAAAGGCTTATCTCAGATCAAAATAAGATTTGAGAAAGGTTCCCCTTTGAAACCTATTGAAAACCTCATGGCTATCATTCCACTGAGCGGGTACACTCTGTCACTTTCTTTTGATTTCTGTGATCTTAGAATTCATTTAACCGAACATTCGTCTTTGCAGTGTTTTTGCTCTTCCAAAAGCATATCAGGCACTTATGAAAGAGGACAGCCCAATTATTGATCCTGAAAGTTGTTATGGTAGGGCATAATCACATATTTTAGTTATTTTCCAAGAACATTCTATGAAACTAACTAAAATATTTTTCTGTATTCAGAGATCGAAAGAGTCATTGAAGGAAAACGATGTGTGTGTCAGGTCTGCTTACATTTATCCAAAGTTGCTATATATTAAGTCGTATCACTGTCTTTTAATAACTTCTAAAGTGTGCTGCTTTTTGTTTTTGGCGCAATGGAATGTGTAAGGTTCCTGTAATAGATGAAGGACGGCTTCTATCTGAGGCAAGAAAATTAGAAAATGATCTGCAGGTGTGACATTTTATAATTATATTCACAGATTGTCATGGGATTCCTTATGTTTTAAATCTCCAACAGTTTTCAATTTATGCCAAATTATTTAGGATGAAGAAAAGGAGAGGAATACACAACGATTAGATCAATTGCTAGTACGTTGCACGCACAAGTTAGGGTCACTCATTTTGTCATTCTCAGAAGAGCAAAATGAGGTCAAGAGAGCCATCAGTTTGAGGTAGATAAGAGAAATATACCAATTGAATATTCTGTACTTTTTATTAATCCATCAGCCTTCTCTCTTAGGCTGCGTTTGATACATTGTATTATATTGTATAAGCTTGATTTTTACATGTAAAATTATGATATGCAATGCAATGCAAGGTAATTTTGTACCGATATGAGGCTTAATTTTGTAGTACTTGTTTTTCAGAGATTTATGTTTCTGTATGTATCTCTCTTTCAGTGATGAAATTGGTGGTTTTATATGGCTTCCGCTTGAGAACACAGTTACTGGTAACCATGTCTGCAACAATAATGAGGACGACTCTGTACTGTAAGTTGAAAATAGTAGTGGTTATGATTTGTAACTCTCTTTAATTACCATATTTTGAATATAATTCTTGTGTTTATACAATTGCAGATGTGTGTTTTATGAGCTGCCTAATGACGATCCACACATCCCTTGTTTAGTTTCTCGGGTAAAATGTCCTAATAAGGTATTTTTATTTTTTTTGTTAATAAGCTCTTTTATCAAGTACACCCGAAGAATAGCTCCCCTTCCCTATCTGATATCATCTAATTTCATGTACATTACTGTAACATTTCGTAATTGCAATATGGTTTTCTACTCAGTATTTCTTTTGATGAAAATGGCTTTTGCTTTATCACAATTATATGCAGATTGTGAGTGAATCTGACATTCAGGAGAGGAAATTGTGGCATGAATATCCATTATGGAACCCCAATTTCAGCCATAAGTCTACGAGGAGAGGAGCTGGTTGGGGAAAACCAAATGGTGGTAATAATGAGTCTTCAATTGAAGAAACAAGCTCATCTCACGCAGATTCCGCCTCAAGCTCATCTCACGAGCCATCACACTATTTTGGTCCCGAATGGCTTGCTGGTAGAGGCAAACCAATCAACAGAGATGATGCCAGAGCGCTTGCCAATTGCACAACCGAAAGAACAAACGATCAACAAGTAACAAACATTGCTTATGTTTCAGCAAATTTCCATGGTTCAAGAAGACCTAATGCAGGGAGTTTCCGGCCAGGGAATAATAAGAGTAGCTTTTGGCCATCAAGAAATGGCATCACACATGACGGAAACCAATCATGGCGCCAGAGTTCAGATTCTGATAGTAATTGCGGTCATGGCTGAGGAAGAAGGCAACAACGTTCTGCCAATGTCGCAGCTAACAGATGGTGACAAGGCTCTGGCTTTCGGCTGCTAGCAGAGGTAGACGTGGTCAAAATGAAATGTGCAGTGCGTTGTAGATATTGCATTGAAGGTGTAAGATGTTTGCTTCGTAATGTTTGCTAGCTAGTTAGACTTGCATGGCGTGATGAACATTTTGCTGTAGATTTGTGTTTGTATATTTCTAAATGTTTGAGCTAAATTTGCTGCAATGATAGAAATTATCAGCATGGTGAAGAAATATAATTGAAAAAGTATCTATGACACTATTCATATGCTTTTGTGTGACATTTACAACGGAATGATGCTGGGTAGTTTTGGCACGATTTCTAAAGTTATGGGGTCAAATTAAATTCTTTGGAAAGCCATGCAGCATGTGTGGAATTCCCCCTTTAGTTCTCCATTTGTTAGTTGCTGTATTGCAGTGTCTTGATTCTTTTTTATTTCTCTTTCTTTTTCATCTTATAGCGATATCATTTTATATTAATTAATGAATTAAAAATGTCAGACACCCCTAAACTTTATGCTATGTTTGGTAGGAAGGAAAGAAAATAGGATAGAAAGGAAATATGAAAGTGATGAAAAATTAGGGGTGGCAATTCGTGTTAACAGGTCGTGTTGAACCCATCAGTTGACACGAATAGGTCTGACACGAACACGATCCGTTTATTAATCGTGTCAAAATTATAAACCTAAACACGACCTGTTTATTAGTGGGTTAACACGACACGACACGATTAACCCGTTTATTAAACATGTCGTAAACGTGTCGTGTCAACCCGTTAATTACCTGTCAACACGTTTACGAAACAGGTTATAAACGGGTCGTGTCAACCCGTTAATTACCTGTCAACACGTTTATGACCTGATTACTGTCAACACGTTTGAACCTATTTCATAACCTATTTCAGAACCTATTTCTGAATATGTTTCTCAACCTGTTTAACATGATGTAGAGACATTACATAATCTAAGTTCAAAATTAAAACAAACACATTAGAGTCTCTAACAAATTAAAAAACAAACACATAAAAGTTTCACAATTTAGAAAACAAACATACATGATTAATAATTAAATATTTAAATAATTTGCTGCAGTGGGGGGACTCCAAGTGCATCATTACGTTCATGAGAAGTTGATCCCTGTGAGAAAGGCTCATCTTCTTTCAATGAAAAGTTGAAGATATCTTGTGTAAGATCCTCCACCTCTTCATTGAAATCTACACAAAAATAAATATATATAGATACAAGTTAGTTCAAAATCAATATAGAAAATATACATAATTTAAGTAAGTTTGAAACTACCTTTGTCTCCATATAACCAATCTCTGGTACAAACAAGTGCTTCAACTGTCTTTGGTTTAAGTGAGCTACGAAATGAATCAAGAACTCTACCACCAACACTAAATGTAGCTTCAGAA